GAAAATTAGACTTCAAACAAACCGGCCTTCATTTATTGAAATATTGAAGTTTATAAGTTGATCAGTTGGCAACTCCGATTCCGTTTGCCTGCCTCGGGCTATATTTCAACTACTTTCAAACTCTCCACATGTAGGAGCTGCTGTTTTTCTACGTTGTTTCTATTTTCACATTTTGACAGTAATGGTATAGTAAACCAGTGGGCGACTTCAGTGACAATTTTCTATCGACCTAACTCTAATATGATCATCCTTGTTGTCATAATACAGAACAATATGCAAAAAATTCCAAGGGAACTCTCGAAAACCACAAAACATTATTTAAGGCTATATGCAAGATGTTACCCATATAGTGATCATCATGCTTAATTACCCTTGATTACAAACTTTGAGGGCCGTAGAGGGAAATATGCAAGAAAATGATAAGATTCATAAATTCCATTGTGTGCAAAGTAATTATCATATTTGTAATAAGTGTATTGGGCGCACCAATTTTCAGGCTACACGGAAAACGCCAAAAAGCATTGAATCAATAAAAAATCATATTCTGCTGAATGATTAACACATACGTAAGGTTCGCTTACCGCTGTACATCAATATCCAGCAACTTAAAACGAAAAGAGAGAAAATCAATAAACCAAGGTGGAACAATGTTGTTCCGGATGACATACTACGTTATCTACCTCTATGCCAGAATACATATGTGCAAAGTTTCAAAGCTCCACTAATCGAGTAACAAGTTTGTATTTGGTACATGTTTTATACACCTTCGCGATGCTGACCTCGTACGGTGCACCTATGACCTGGACTAGATACAAAGCTCATTTTCCTTTCAAAAAAATCCTCGGTTCGAAAGAAGTGAGGACAATGGCCACTTTGGGACGGGTTGGTATGAAGTCACTTTTTTTTTCAAAACTTATACTCAGTATTACATATATAACATAAAAGTTGGTGTCACAAATTACAATTTCCATACCATATGGTTTCGGTACTGATTTTTTTCTTAACAATCTAATAATAAAACGTACTATAATTTTGAGCGGTAGTCTCATGCATACTTGGTACGGATACCAATGTTCGCGAACACGGCGAGTAACTGACACACGCAAATCCTTCTTCACTGTCAACAATCGCATCATTGCATGTGTGTTCGAACCTAATAGAAAATGTTTCATCTAAAGACTAATGATGACGGGAAACTTATCAGACGTTTGATGAGTGCTGTCCAAATTTCTATTCCACTACTGTTGATCTTTCATATGGGAAGTGTTACAAAACTTCTCATGAACGCATGCTGCATAACATGTGTGTCGGCGATTGTTCTCAAAGCGCTTTCTGATTGACCAAATGTGGAAACAAAACAGATCGACGGCAATAACAGTGCGTAGGCAGCTGCATCGTCGTGATCATCCGTACCCATTCTGAACCCTTCCACCAGTTTTTGCATAGCATACGCTTTCAAATAGTCCCCATACTTCCCACAGTTTAGATAAATAGAGTGGCCAGACGTTGTCAAGAACATCTATGAGATTATAGTCGATGCACGGATAAGGTATTGCAAAGTTGTGCGGCCCAGCGGTGGCGCGGCAGATTTGCACTGGAGCAGATGCAGCATTTGAGTGAATATCGATGCGCTTTTGGCGCCAGCCTGGCAGTATCTTAATCCGTGCAATCATCTATACCTTTCAGGTAGTCCCAGTCCCTTCGTTTCTTGGCATTCTGAAAATGGTTTGGTCATATGCAGTAATGAAGTGGGTTAAGATCTGCTCTACTACGCTACACACCTGGACACTGGCAAATGGGATTTGCAGTGCTTGCATCCGAGAAAAGATCAAAAGAGTCACATGTAAGGCTAAAGCAATCAGCAAATTCGGCAAAATGTGCTCGAGCGAGTGAAGTTAACGAAGTCGCACCATTCTGCCTTGTCGGTAGTGCCTATGCTGCTGAGTGATGTGCATTTCAGCCCTAGGAAATTCTGTAAATCCTGAAGCTCGTTCACAGCCTGTCTCTCTCGCCACAGGCTTGAGGAAGAA